CCGTTCGTCCGTACTCCCCTCCGTTCGTCGTCGTCTCTGCCCCCCCCACCCCCCCCCCCCCCGTCCCCCCCTCCCACTCACGCCTTGCTCCCCACCCTCTCCTGCACCAGCCCGGACGGACCATGCCTGGCAAGCGGCAGCGGCGGGAAGAGCCTGGTGGTGACCAACCCAGACGATGCTAACGATGTTGACACGGTGGCCTTTGACTCGGTCGACTCGCATGCCCATCCCATGGACGCCGATCCGAGTCCTCTAGCCGCAACTGCCGTCAGCGCCCTCGCCGCAGGCCGCTCTACCCTCGTCCTCGGCCTGAGCAACGCATCACGCTCCGGCCCGGCGGGTGCTGTGCCCGAGGCGCTGCTAAGCGCCCGTGGCGTAGCCGGCGCTGCCCTGAGCGCTCTCCTCGCCTCGGCATCGAGCTCGCACGAGCTGGCGCTCGCCGCCTTTGCCGTCGCCCACACTCACGACGAGCCAATCTTTGACCTGTTGGCGCCGCTGGCACTCGACGGGCACGAGTCTGCAACTTCGCGGGCGTCGGCGGCAGCAGATGCTCCGCCGCGTTTCACTGTCGATCCTGTGCTGGGCGTCTCGGTGGCCGGCCTCGCACTGGCGCCGCTGCCGGACGCCACCGCTGCCGGCGAGGCACTGGCTCTGGTCGAGGCACAGGTTGAGCTTCTTGCGGCTGCGCGGCCGCACCTGCTCCCGCTCTCGATTGTGGTCGAGATTCGGCGGCTCAAGGTTGACAGCAAGCGTGAGACTGGCGCGTTTGCCAAGATCACTCTCGTGGCTGCTGCGCCGTATGACGGCACGTTTCTTGTTCGCGAGCCATCGTCACTCCTTGACGGCTCGCTGCTCTCGCTGTCGCTCAAGTACGCCCGCGTCCGCGAGTCGTTGCTCTGCGCCAAGTCGCGTGCGGCGCTGCCGAACGTCATCTCGGCGCTGGTCTCGCACGTCTCGGGCGCGGCGTCGGGCCTGGTTCCTTCGGTCCCATACGCCGACTCGGTGGTTACCGCTTTGCTCGAGCCGGCGCTCTCTGGCGCCGACGAGTTGCATGTCATCGGGTGGCTTGATGGCTCGCAGCGGGCATTTGGCGCAGCGGCGATGCTGGTCCAGCTGCTTGAGAAGCTTGCGCACGCGCTCTCGATTGTCAACGTTCCACGCGAGTCGTGGAGCAAGCCGCGGGGACTAACGGTCGAGGCCTTTGAAGCTGCGCTTCTGGCGGCGTCGCCGATGGTTGAGGCAGCTTCGTTTGGCACCTCGCGACTGGGCCTGACGTCGCAGGCAGCCGTCTCCCTCCTCGCTCGTGCGCGGCTGGAGGAGCAGAGCATTGCCGCGCGGGTTGCGTGGTTCCAGGCCGGGGTTCAGCGGCATGCGCGGAAGAGCTCGGGCAGCGGGGCTCGGGCAAGCGGGCCGGCACCCCGGCGTGGCATGTCGCCTGTCCCGGTTGCAGGAGAGCGGCTGGCAGCGTTGGGCGTCCAGCTTGCACCGCCATGGTCGTACCCTTCGTCAGAGACTGGCGAGGTTCGAATGTTTGCCATCACTCCGTCGGGTGCGCCCAAGTCGTCTGTGGCGTACGTTCTCCGCGAGGGAAACACCTGCGTGGGCGCGGTGCCAACGCCGCGGGGAAGCGGCGCTGCCGCAACGGTCCGAGGCGTTCTCATCCTCACCGACCACGCCGAGTTTGTAGTGTCGACGCCAAAGTCTGCGCCGGGTTGCCGCCGCAGGTAACGGTCTGCCCGACTTCAGCTCTTGCAGTCGTGGCGATCAACGGGAGGCGGATTGAGGCGCCGAGTGTCGTCTCGCCGGGCGATGTTGTCCTCCTCGGGGCATCGATGGCGTGGTGGTACGCACCGCTGCCGAGCGAGGAGACGGCGGGCGCCAACGTGGTGCCGCCATCGTGGGCCTCCATCTTGCTCCAGTACACGGCCGCCAGCCTCTTTCTGGACAACGAGGGCCTCGGCTCGTCGGTGGGCGGGCCGCCGAACGCACTGCCGCAGTCTGTACGCGGCGAGCTGGCTCGTGCGCTGCAGAGCGTGATGGCGGTGGACGCTGCGAGCAAGATGGCCAGCATGCTCAACTCGACGACTACGTACGAGCTGGTGCGGACGCCGGCGCTGAGGGCGGCCCTGGCCTCGCTGGCGACGATGGCCACCGGAGGGCAAGACGGCGGGGCCGGGCTCGAGGTTCAGGATCCGCTGTTCCGTCTCTGCTTTGCGACTCGCAATGGTGGAGACAAAGACGGGAGCAATGCCGGCGACGCTTCCAAGAGCGAGCAGGCCATGATTGGGCCGACCGACTTTGCGCTCCACCTCGACGCGCTCACGGAGCTCTTTGCGCTTGTGGCTCACTCTGGCAAGCTGGGCGCGGTGGCGGCAGGCGCCCCAGTGCGTGTGCCACCCGGACACGCCGCGAGCGTGCTCGACCCGCTCCTCCCACTCCCGCACGACGTCAGGATTGGCAAGGCGAGCGTGTCACTGGCAAGCATGGGAAAGTTGAAGGCGATGCGGGCCCAGGCCGAGCTGACGGGTGAGCCTGGAGCGAGTGGCGTGGTGACGGTGGCAGGCTATGCAGTGCCAGACGTGGCGGCGATTGCCAACAAGGGCGCCGGCTCGTCGTCGACGTTGTACGACGACAAGCTGCGGGTGTTTGTGCTGCAAGTGGAGAGTGCTGAGAGCGTGCCGACGACGCTGTCGAGTGGTCTGTACGCGATCTTTGACTTTGCGGGCGGGCTCGGGGCGACGCCGCGGGTGGTGCACTCTGTCTCACAGTCGCTGCGCTTCGGGCATGCGCACGTCTTTAGCTGCCGCGAGTCTTCGCGGCTGTTCCAGGCCCTGGCGACCACAAGCGTCACGGTTGCGGTCTACGGCCACGGTTCCGTGGTCGCCTCACAGAACGCCGGGCTCAAAGTCCAGCTGGAAGAGGTAGCAAGCGAGCTGGCGGTAGCTAGCGCAGAGCTTGCGCGCCTACAGGCCGATAACGCGGAGCTGCAGGCGCAAGTTAAGGAGCTGCAGGCTGTGCCTGAGGGAGATCTGGACGCGTTGGTGGCCATGTCGGTCAAGGACCACGCGGCGGCCGTTCAGCAGGCACAGACCGAGCTGGAAGAGGTGGAGGCTGAGCGGGCGGCGGTGGCGGCCGAGCTGGATGCGGCTTTGAGCGAGAACGCGACGCTGAAGCCGCGGGCCGAGATGATGGAAGAGTCGCTGGCACAGATGACACCGCAGATTGAGGCGCTGCGGATGCAGAACGTCGAGCTGCAGCGCAAGATTGAGTCGTCGGCATCGGAGCGCGAGCTACTGGCGCAGGTCAAGATCCGGCGGCTGCAGGCCGAGAACGCGTCGCTCACCGACGAGCTCGCCGCCCTTCACGAGTCGAACATGCACATGGACGAGGTGCGTGCGCTGATTGCACAGTCGCGGCAAAAGTCGCGGGCGTGTGTCATATCCTGAGCACGAGGAATGCTTGCTTGCGGAGCTGCAGTTTACGTTCTGGTGTCGATGCCGCCGCCGCCGTCGTTGGCATTGCCGAGGGGGTACTTGTCGCACTCGGGCCCGGCAAGCTCCTTGTAGGCCTCGAGCTTGTCTGGGAGGACAAACCAGCGGATGCGCTGGGAGTACCACTCGCGGACTTCCTCGGGCTCGAACGACCACCACAGCGGAATGTCCGGCGAGTCCCATGGGAACGAGTTGTAAAAGTACAGGTGGTTGATCATGTCACGGAACTCGAAGCGGTCGAGCATGGCGACGAAAGCCTCCTTGCCCATTTCGCGCATCAGATGGAGGATGGCGCAGCGTCCACGGATAGTACCTTGCAGCGACATCACAAAGGTGTCGCGCTCGACACGGCAGACCGAGTCGTTCGGGCACGAGCCGTTCGGCCTGCAGTCGGCCGTGCCGCAGCCGAGCTCAGCGACCCGCGGGTCGATGTTGGCGAGGTGGTGCAAGTACATCATGCACCACGATGGGTCGTCCTTCCAGTTGTCGTACGTGTACGTCGCGTGAGATCCGACCGAGACCGTCGAGCCGTCCGGCTTGACAAAGTTCCGGCGGCCGCAGACAAAGCAGTAGTCGTACCCGCACGGGCAGTGCAGGTGGCAGCAGCGCTCGTCTTTGAGGCCAGCGACAGCGCAGTTGGGATCCGGGCACCGGCGCATGCCACACTCGTGCAATTCGTCCTGCAGACGGCGGAAGTTCTTGAGCCCGCGGAACTTTTCCTCGCACGGCGCGTGGATGCCGCGGTCAAGCTGGGAGATGCTGCCGAGCTCCGCCGTGCCCGACAGGGCAGTGACTGGATAAACTTGTGAGCAGACCGAGCACGAAGCCACGCCGCAGTGGGTGCACTGGAACCGGGCCGTCTCGCCCTCCATGACCGGGCGGAGGTCGTTGACCCGTTCGCAGACGTTGCACACGTGGCGAAAGGCCTTCGCCACCGTCACACCCTCGTTGATGGAGATGGCGACAACACGGAGGACGGCATCGATGGAAAGGAACTTGCGGAGGACAGCAAGGTTGACTGGCTGGCCGCACCGCTGGTTGCAGCACTTGACCAGCTGGCCCTGGTTGACCGCAGTCTGCGCCATGTGGCCAAAGCAGGCGACGCAGACGCCAAGCTGGCACTCGCACTCATATGCGAGCTCGCCGTCGGGCGACGGCATGAAGCAGACAGCGCAGAGAGCCGGCTCGCCATGGGCCGAAAGCGGGCGAGGCGAGGCCAGCCCGCTCGCCTTGCTCGCCTTGTAGTTGGCCTCGTTGAAGGCATCGAGCATGTGAGCCGCGTCGGCGTCGATGAGGTCGACCGGGCGGAGGCCCTGGTTGTTGGCGGCTTCGACCCACTGCCAGCTCCACTGGTAGGCGAGGATCAAACGGGCGACGTCGACAGAGCCCGACCGCGCTGCGGCATGGAGCACCGTGTCGCCGTTGGCGTTGCGCCACGCGTGCGCCGCGCCGGTGTTGGGCAGCGTCGTTGGGTCGATCGACGACGACGGAACCTCCCGTGGGACGCTCAGCCGCCTGCCAACGCTCGGGCGCGCCAGCATCATGGCCACAATGGCGACGTGTCCGCCCTTGGCGGCGAGCGCCAGAGGTGTGTTGCCATACGCATCGTACTCGAGCGGGAGCGCGCCGCGCTTCATCAGCACGCTCGCCTTGGCCACCGCTCCGGCCTTAGCGGCGTGGTGCAGCGGCGTCATGCCGCGCTCATCGGCACGGGTCACCGCGTTCATGTCGGACCGGGCCAGACGCTCAACAATGGCCGCCGGAACCTTGGCGTCGCGCACGGCGTCGGCAAGCGTACCGCCATACGGTGCCGACGCCTTGTCGAGCGCAGTCTGGATGGCGGCCGCCACCGCCGGCGACTTGCGCATGTCCTCGGGCGTCACACCGCGGGCGTTGGCGAGGTTCATGCGGAAGGTGTCCGGGAAGGTGAGGAGGATGTCGAGGACGTCGAGCATCTCGTTCTCGATGACAAAGTGCAGGAGCGTGTCGCCGAGCGAGTTGCGGGCATACTCGTCGCCGCCGGGCGACGACGTGTAGACCGAGTGCAGGCCGACCTGCGAAAGAAGAACGTGCATGAGCTCCAGGTAGAGGCCCGGAGCCTCGGAGCTTTGGGCCGTGGGCGTCGACGCCGGCGCGTCGTCCTCTTTGCCCTTGCTCGCCGGGTCGGGCTCCGAGCCAAACGCTGGACCCGACGACGAGGCCAGACCGGATGAGGATGAAGCGCGGACCGACGGCGGGCCGGCGCGGAGCGCGGCGCGCAAGTTATAGGCGACCCAGTCGAGAGCGTTGTAACCAAACATCGACTTGCGCGAAGGGTCGGCGCCCATGCCGAGCATGTACGCGCCGATGGCGAGGTTTCCGCTCTTGCACGCCACCATGAGCGGCGACCGCTGCCAGATGTCAAAGTGCAGTTTGGCGTCGGTGAACCCCGGGCGCGGGCGCTTGCCCACAACCCGGATGGCGTCGATGCCGGCGGCGATGCCCGGCGCGAGCTCCACCCGGTACCGCGAGGCGAGGAACGACGGACGGGTGGTGAGCTCGATAACGTTGAGGCGTGCAGCGTCGCCCGGGGCGGCAGGGGCATCAGAATCATCTTCGGCCGACCAGACCGTGAGGTACTCGTAGCCGTCCCAGACCTGGATGAGCGCAACCGAGCCCGGGCCAAACGTCTCATAGATCTCAAAGCTGTCTGCGTAGAGCGCGTCCGAGGTGTTGAAAACAACCCACGCGCCCTCGTCCTCGGTGGTCGGGATGGGCGGGACCCAGGTGCCGGCGAGGCCAGCGCCGTAGTTGCTCGGCGCCGGGTTGTTGAACGCGCTTGGCTCACCGCGGAGCGCGTCTGCGCCGTTGGCCTGCCCCACGCCCGAAGAGGCGGTCGAGATGGATGAGACCCATGAGCTGGCGTCGATTAGCGTCTCGCTGGCCGGCCGCGGGTGCAGGGCGTGGGTCGACTTGGCCAGGATGTCGCGGACAGCGTTGATGTCGTTGCGGGCGACGGCGCCGACCAGGATAAAGGTCGACTGGTCGATCGAGTGGTCAGTGGCGTCGCGGAACGCTGTCCGCGCCGCCGCCGTCTGCGGGGTCAGAAGATCGGTCCGCAGCGCGTCACTCGCCCGCGGTGAGTACACAGCATTGGCCTTTTCGATGTCGACCTCGATGGAAAGCGCCTTGAACGAGCGCTTGACGGCCCGCTCCGTCGCCGGCAGGATGGCGTTGAACCGCTCGATGTTGGACTTTGGCTTGGCCGTACCACACATTTGGCAGCTGGCCTCTTGAGAGAATGGGTTGAGGAAGGTGCACGCCGCGCACTGCCATCCAATGCCTGGCCGAACTGTGTTGCATGCCTCGCACGACGAGGGATTGTTTGTGTTGACCAGCGTGCAACTCGGGCAGGTCCACTCGACACCCTGCAGTACGAACCATTCGAAAACCGAAGCATTGGGGTTGACAAGGAGAGGGTTTTGGGGGGGGGGGGGGGGAGGGGGAGGGAGGACGAGAGAGACG